CACACACACACACACACACATATCACGCACACACACACACACACACACACACATACATACACACATATCACGCACACACACATGCACAAACACACACAGACACAAACACACACACACACACAAAACACAGACTTATTTCCACACACAAACAGACCGAAGGGCTAGAACCCAAATGGCCGCTGGATCGGAAAAGTAAGGTAAAAGTAAAAGTTCCACACACAAAACACACACATATATACCAACAAACCTCAAAATACACCAGAGAAGAAACAAGCACCCACCTGTGCTGAGTGCAGCTTTCATCAAACCACGTCGGAACACCTCCCTCAGCCGAGCCTTCATGGTGAAGTTTTTCGCCCCACCTGTGACAGAGATGAGCAGGTTTGGCTTCTCCATGCCCCAGGCCTCGGTCAGAAGTGACAGCATGGTGTCCATGGGTGTGTCAACGTCTACACGCACGTACTGAGCAAATAACGGAAAGGTGATGTTTTAGTAAGAGTTTTAGCATGCTCACACGACTTAATGCAGCTGCGATCGCGAGCGCTGTAAAACTCTTACTAAACAAAAGTAAGAGTTCTATCGCATTTGCAAACGAATTGGGTTTATATTAGTGCCAAAGATTAGAGGTTTTACAAAAGAGTAACAAACAAAAAAAAAGGAGGAGGAAAGACAAGACAACAGAAATGCTATAGGAAAGAAGGAGCAAACCACGTCAGAGCACCTGCCAACCATCCAGAAAAAGATGAAAGCACAAGGTATACATTTTCATCTTTTGAGCTTGGCACACTGGCGCACACAAACACATGAGACTAGTGAAAATGGGGGATATAACTGAATACAACAAAAGCAAAAAGATCTGATTACTTAAAAACTTAAAACACTGCCCAACACTTTCTGCTTGGATCTAAAAAGTAAAGCACCTTGAGTTGTGTGCATGAGGAGTAGGAGCAATGAAAATTAGATACTTAACTATTATTATTATTATCATTATTATTATTATTATTATTACAGACCTGCCAACCCCTACCAAAAAAAAAGAAGATTTTTCAAGGGAAAAAAAAAGGAGTCTGGAGAAAAAAATAGGAGCATCTAACTTAACATCCATATTTCCCGATTAAGTTGGTTAATCGCAATGCAATATAACTTGCCACATATCAGGCTCGGATAGGCCCTATCTCCAGGAAGCTCTCCTGTTTCTTTGAAGTATAACGGGGAAAAAAATCATTCTTAACTAAAGCGCTATGTAGGTCAACAGGAAGTTACCATGACTTGTGACCTGTTGCCAGGCCTGAGTGTTTGTAAACGAGTGACACGCATGGACTTCTTCGTTGCTCGTGACAACGTGATTAGGCACACTCCCTCAAAAATAAACGCTGGAATCTGATTGGCTATTGTTTTATAACCTGACCCATCAAAGTTCGAAAAAAAAAGTTGTCCATAGTAGAGGTCGAGGCCATCTGCGTACATAATTATACAGTGCGGGCGGTTCGCGCTGCGGGCTGTGTGTGTAGACCTACAGCAGGCGCGTTACTCGGTTCCATATTCCTTTGTAGTCATTCAAAATGATAAAAATATCGGGGGCAATTACGATAAAACCGGAGCAGATGGCAGGTCTGTTATTATTATTATTATTATTATTATTATTATTAAATTATAATTATTATCATAATTATTATTATTAATTATGATTATAATTATTATCAGCACTATTTGCCTGGGAGTACCTACTTGACCTGAGATAATATACTGTGTGCGATACATATACCATATGCCTGAGGAATACTGTTTGTCTTGGATATACTGTGAAGTGTATTTATTGCAAAGCACCTTGAGCCGCCAGGGAGTGGGTGCTACAGAAGCGATCTTGTTATTATTATTATTATCATTATTATTACTATTATTATTACTATTATTATTGTTATTACTATTACTATTAATATTACTATTATTATTATATTTACTATTTGTCTGGGATAAACTTACTTTGCCAACTTTATCTCCATAACCCACAAACTCAATCTCTCCAAAGGCATTCGTCGGTAGACTTTTCGTGTGTAGGCCAGGCATCCATTTCCCACCCGCTTGACCAGCATTGATGGCCTCCTCCGAGTGGCGAGACTTAGGATAGTCACACTGGCAAACCGGTTCATCTCTGTGCGAAATAAAGGTAGACCAAACTGGTTAGTTTCTAAAGGTTTTAAACAAAAAAAATTAGATCAGTTAAAATAATTTGCATTTTCTGGAAAGCAGTCCTTTGGTTTTTAAAGATTCAAGGAAATTCAGAGGCATCCTTTCTGTTCTATTGTTCCTTGGCTAACTGATTTTTGTTCTTATTTCATGAAACGGTTCAAGTTAATTCAAATAAAAGTCATAAATACTTTTGTTTTTTTAATAGCAATCTTCATTGTTGTGGTTTATTTCTTTCACATACAAATTGACAACAGTAATGTTCACAGTCGCAAAGTGCAATAAAAAAACTTACAAGGATGGGTCCTGGTTAGTTTTTTCAATAAAACTCTTGCATTCTCTTCGCTTGACCTTCTTCATAAACCGCACCTCTTGATTCTGAGGAGAAAATATAATATCAAAGTTACAGGAAAACCATTGCCCCACATGATTTCCTTGTTGAGAGATAGTCCACAAAGAATATCAAGCAATGCCAGTGCAACACCTGTTAAGGGTGCGTGGTAACTCTAGTGGTTAGGCTACAAAGGACTCGCAATTCTGAGATTGCGGATTTGTGGGTTCTAGGCTCTGCTTCGTTAAAAGTTGTGTCTTTTGGCCATTTTCTCGATCCTATCTGAGATGGATGTTAAATTTGGAGGTCATATCTGTTAAGTAACCTTACAGTGTAGCAAAAATTGTTATACCTTTAAAATGTTGCATACCTGTTAAACGAATGTTCACAGTGGTGTGTCCTTGAACAAAACATATTGATGCTTGCTCAAATACAGGGCACTGCATATGCAACAGTGGGCTACTGTATAAGTTTGCTATAACACTTACAGTTATAGCTGTTATTCTAAGATATGATTATCTATTGGAAGTTATCTTTTCAGTTATTTTTACTTATTTTCTTTTTCAATCTCAAAGGTCCCAACTACGTGTTTGGAATGTAACTCATAGGTAACTCAAATCCTTCATATCACCACAACACACCTTATGCCGGACGATATAGAAGAGACTCAAGAGCTTCATGACACTTTTTATCCACAGAAAATTTCTTCCTTGATATTTTCAGAGCCAACCAAGAAACTGTTACAGCCAGAACAGCTTCGAACACAGTAATGCCCTACAGAAAGTTGAATGACATGTATACCACAAGACAGCCATTAAAATGAATATCAGAAGATCTCTACTATGATCTTTACTATCTAAATCACCCCACTCACTGAGGCACGGTGGAAAATGAAAGACCCGTAGCTGACTAACAGCCTGTGAGTGTATGAAACTTTAATGAGAACCGGCCATCTCTGAGGAGGCTCTATTATTCAAGAAATCAATAAAAACCCTCATAGGGGACTCACAAAGATAAGCCTGGAGAGCAGGTAAAAGAGAGAAATGGTCAGTCCCCTATTCATCTCTCTTCTGCCTGTCTCTCAAAGAGTTTGAAGGGTTATTATATAATCTTACCTCTCCTTCCCTTTCCATCCTTAACAGACGCAATAACAAAAAAAAAAACCAATAATTATCTCACCATCAACAGGTTTCAGCACATTTTACTATATTCATATCTTCAACCTCTCATTTCAAATCTCAGTCATTCATCCTTTTCCAGCTCACAGACTTAGCTCTAATTGAAGACAATAGTCGAAATTGTCCAAGACAGCCACTGATTGTTGAGGACAAAAGTAGGCAGGTAGTCTTCTTGGATAGTGTCATTATAATATTTTTCTTTACAAAGGCAAGAAGGATGGGAGAAGTAATCACTTGTGCAGGTGAATGACTTGGAAGGTAGCTGTTAGTGCAGATTTGACAGTATTCTGGCATGCAACTATTAAAAACAAAAAGAGAGATGAAAAGGTTGTTTCTCTAAACAAGCTATGTGATTGATGCAAATTTGTTGGGTGTAAAACTGTAATTTGAGGAACAGATGGACAAGTCATCCCCTTTTAATTTAAGGAAACAGAATCAGATGATTGTTATAAAAACTTATAAGTTCTGGCACTTTTAGCTTTTTATTATTCCAAGACAATGTCAGCTCAGTAAAAATGTTGGTATAATGCTGGGCTATGGGGAAGAAGACCTGGGTCAAATCCCCAATGAAGCTCTCTTGAACTTGGGTTTGTTTGGGAAGTTTGCAGGATTCTCCACTTAGCTAAATCTTGTCAGAGACAAGAATTGAATTCTCTCTCTTAGATCTTGCCTCTCGAATAGCCGCACAATGTCGAAAGAAGACGTTACTATACCATAGCTCATCATACCATATTATCATTCTTATTCCCACTAAGACAGAAACATGGGCAATTCTTTTCAACCTTACAAATTAGAGGTTGCTGACTCCAGGACCCATACAAGGAGAAAATCAAGGAAGCTAGCTCTGTGAGCAAATTTTATCTCTATTCAAATAGAGGTCAATCTACACACAAAGTTCACCCTGGGGGTTCTCGAGGCCTAGAGATTAAGGTGTTCGCTTCTCATTCAATAAGTCTCGGGTAAGAATCCGCATAGCAATGGAAATGTTTCTTGTCTAAAATTGTTTCCTTTCACCTCCTTACCTGCTTTCTAGCAATGTCCTGTCATCTGCTTTCGCCTCCACTTTATACCTCCACCCCCACATCTCCTTTGCCCCCCTCCTCTGGGCTCCTGACTCTCTCTGCACTCTTTCTACTGCTACTCCTTGGCTCCTACTTACTCTTGTATTTCAGCCACACCCCTGACCTTCTGGTAGGAAAGATCTACACCTAGCCTTCTCGGGCAAGGGCGAAAAATCTCCCGGAGGTCCTCACCACTTAACACTTTTCCTACCACATGGCGGCTCGCGGACAAGGCTCTGCCGGACCGAGAGCTGCATAATACGGCTCGAGTGGCTCACTATCTATTCCAATCCAGTAATGAAAAGACACGAAATTCTCAGCTATTCGAAACAATAGGACTTCCTGTCAGCAGATACGAAAGAAAATATAGCAGTGAGAGGCGATTTTTTGCTATTTCAGCGCTTTTTTTTCCCCTTCGAAACGCAAAAATGAGAAGAAAAGCGCTCCCTTGACTTCAGTAAATGTCTCATATTTTCACTTCTATATTTGGTACACATTCATAACTTTCAGCATTTCTTTGCATTACTTGAGGCAACCTACCAGAGAAGTTTGAATGGTGCTGTTGTTGTACTTTTTTAGATATATGACCTTTAAAAGCTGAAAATTGTTGATTTCATATGACACCTTCGATAATGCATAATCACTTTTAGAAACCCCAAACAAATATAACAGGAATCATCATCATCATCATTGCCTTTCTCACCCTGGGTCAGGATATAGGCCACGAACAAACACTCTCCACCTTTCCCTATCCTGGGCTAGTCGCTTGATGTCACTCCACGTCATATAATTGGAATACATCTTCAATATTGTATCACCATCTGATAGATATTTTTTAACCTTCAGTTTGATGGGCCGTATGATATGGTTTGTGTGTGTTTAGTTGGATGTTTTGACATTATCTTTTGGTGGGGTAGGGGCGTAAAGATAGGTCAGGGAAAAGCCCTGGGCCAGTGGTGGATTTCGGCCTGGTAGGAAAAGAGTTAATGAAACTTATTTTCTACCAGAGAGCAGCTTTCAGTCAGGGATAAACCATTTTCCAAAGGTATTTTCAATTATTAATATTTCGACCTATTTCTTTCAACTTAACCCAATGAACCCAAGGGCACGCCTGATTTCTTCCCACCGAAGGCACACCTCTTTGTGTTGTGGTATAAATCTAGTAGCAAGCCCAAGAGAGCTGAACAGTACTGGTCCTGTACCCTCAGGGGACTAGAACTCGAATGGTTGATGACAACGGCTAATGTTCAATCTTATCTGGGCTGCCCGCAAAAATCAGTCTATACAACTACCGCTACTACTACTTTGACTTCAACAGTGTACCTGCCAAATTAGGTCAAACACTTTTTTATGAAAATAAAAAGTCATTTTTTTTCTTTTTATCTCCTAAAATTCCTCAAGATTTCGTGCAGACTGTTCTTTTTTCTCAATGACAATATCACCAACTCAGAGTATGGTTGTGAATAACATAATTTTAGACAAAACAAGTGTTTGACCACATTTGATGGATACGCAATTACAGTTGGCAACTATTTTGTAAGATCCTAGCCTTCCATTCAGCACCTTAGGTGGATCAAGGACTGATGTAGAGCTCCTGGATTGTAAGCAACAACAATAAAAATAAAAACTTCAATAACAGCAACTACAAACAAAAAACAATACTAATTTAACTGTCCGGCAATGTTTGATAAAAGGATTACAGTAACATCTAGGAGCAACAACAGTAATGACAATAAAAAGTATTTTTGCTTTTGTTTTGGTAAGTGTTTCGCAGGGCAGCAATTGCATGAGGTCATATGAGCACATTAAACATTTTCAGTTTGGTAGGAATCTTAAATTTTGCCGAGATGGTTGCCAACACCTAGTCTTATCGATTGTAGGACCACCAAGGGATTTTTAATGTGTTCAACTTGCACATGGGACCTCCGAGATTTTTCATTCATATCTGAGAAGGCTAGGTTTTAAATCTTACCTACCATAAGGTCAGGGCCATGGCTAAAAAAACAGTAGTAAGAAGGAGCCCAGGAGGAGCAATAGAAAGGCTGCAGAAAGAGTCAGGAGCCCAGAGAAAGGGGCAAAGGGGAGGAGGACGGGGGAATGGGGCAGAAAGTGGAGACAAAAGCAGATGACCGAACATGGTTAGAGAATAGGAAAGGAGGTGATAGGAGAACATTATAGAGAAGAAAATTTTCCGTCACTGTAAGTTTTCGGATGCGGGACCTATTGAATGAGAGGTGAACACCGTAACCTCTAGACCACGAAAGCCCTCTTTAAAAACTATGACAATGACAACATCAACATCAGCAAAAATAACTACAAAAACAGCAACAACAGATTTTCAAAATGTACAGCTCAGGATTAAGAGCAACGACATAAACAGCAACAGCAATAACAAGTCCAGAGATAGGACGGCCCCCTCACAAATAACAAGTCCAGAGATAGGATGGCCCCCTCACAAATAACAAGTCCAGAGATAGGACGGTCCCCCCTCACAAATAACAAGTCCAGAGATAGGATGGCCCCCCTCGCAAATAACAAGTCCAGAGATAGGACGGCCCCCTCACAAATAACAAGTCCAGAGATAGGACGGCCCCCTCTCAAATAACAAGTACAAAGATAGGACGGCCCCCTCACAAATAACAAGTCCAGAGATAGGACGGCCCCCTCACCGTGAGACTGTAGTCTACAAAGGCACCCTGTTCTTCAATATTGATAGCCTTGTCGTCAAACTTGAGACTCTGCATGCTGGTCTGCCCCAAGCTCACTGTGGAGCCCAGGGGCCGCTCATTGGGAGCGACTCGCGGCATGTTCAGTATGTTCACTTCTCTGTCCTCATCAAATCCATCATCTCTGAAAAGTAAAAAAAGACCACAAATTCAGGTACAGTACACAGAAAAATTCTTAGCAGAAATGGTATTGTGAATAGAATAGCTTAAAATACTTAACCAGATGAGGGTGGGAAAAAATAGTAGGCAAATCTGAATGATAAAGGCACACATGTAGATCTACGTGATAGGATTTACTGACGTCCAAATATTTGAATTTGCCCATTTTAATTCTTCAGTATCCCCATCCCTCTAAATTTCAGAGCTGGAAAATAGTATGTTCTTAACCTACAATGCAAATGAATTAAAAATTTATTTGACCTCTTCTCCACCTAAGAAATAGTCAAGACTAATAAAAATTTCTCTATTACAAAAATGAATAGAAATAAGTAACCAAAGTGGATGGTGTAGTAATAGAGACCATTTGAAAATAAAGGTCACTTTTATGAACTCGGGTTACGACAGAAAATTGTTCTTCCCAACTGTTATATTTTTATTCACCCTCAAAAAAATCTTTTAAACTGACAGCACGACCTCCAACCCCTTTAAATATAGCCTAACACTTGCAGTGACACAACAGACTGCAGAGTATTTTTATTTTTTTTATTGACCACAACAGCTGGCATTTTGCACCATGCATTGGCCTTATTAACCCCCTAAAGATGAATAAAGATTGTCATTGTCAAAAAAGCAGCTCAATATAATAATATTCATATATATAATATACATTAGGGCAAAGGTACTGTCAGTTGTTATACCTACTACTACAACAAACCCCCTCTCTACACCCACATAAAAGAAACAAGAAAAATAATTTCTGCACATAAGATAATTGAACTAAGCAGTCCCCTTCTTTTGGCAAAGGAATAACACAAGGACAATGTAAAACAGGGGAGATAACTGTGTAAAATACAGTATAGTGACAAAACAGCATAAATTATCTTTTCCTAAAGATATGTGAATTATACTGTAGTACAGTGTTATCTGCCCAGACCTTACGTCCTCTTCAAAACTTGATTCTCTGACATCACACACCCTTGGTTTTCATCCCGAATCAAGACTCCAAAAGACCCAAAAGAATAGTAAATCAAGTCATTCATGAATACAGTAGTCTCCGAATAAGCATCCATCATTAATGATCCTGCTATTTTAAGAAAATCAAATTTTTACTTCACAAAAGTTACCCCCAAGATCATTCGGTTTACATTCGGCTGATTTAGGGAACAAAAATTCAGACGGGCACAAAAGATCAATCAAGAGTGAAGATTTATTATTATTGAACAGCCCGTCGTGTCACAGATCAGCCTCTCTCGTGAAATTGATCACATGTGCATTGAAAATCTCAAAGAAACGGTACCGGTATGTTTGCCTCAGACGGGACCAAACATCCCACTCACTTCTGAGCTCTCCACCTAATCTTACATCACACACAAGGTGTAAGAGGTCAACAAGTTTGCTCCAGGCGGGATTATCACATTAAACTGTGAATGTTCCTTGACCATTTTGCAGCAGTTGTCCCTGTTCCAAAATTTGCAAGACAGACTGAATTTTAATTGATGTGCTCACATCACAATGGCGCATAACGACAAAGGCAGGGAACTCTGCCAGGGATGAAAAGCTATAAATTTTGGATTTATAAAGAGGAGAAACAACTGGATAAGTGTAGACCTTGAGACTCACGATAGGGTAATAAGCGAAAAGGGCACGCCTCATGCCACTGTGATTGCAAGTCATCACGGTTGTCTCTCTCTCTCTATCCATAAAAAGCTAAAGATGTTAGTCTGGGGATTAGCATTGGTATTCAAAACCATGTCAGTCCCAAAAGCAAATAATAATAGCAAAGGATGCCTTGCCCTACATCACTTTCAGCAATTTGTGGCGACTGACCTTCAGACCAAATTGTTGAGGTGTGTTGTTGTGATGTGTAGTACGTAATACTTGAGTTCATGAGCAACAGTTCAGTGAAAGTGTCTAAGCTGTTCTGGGGGAATGTATTGGAGTTATGTCTCGTCCTGCTGTGACTTACATGAGTGTGTCTCTTCACACTACATTGGTGACCCCAACGTGATTTAAGGTAACCTTGTCTAGAGATCTAGATTTAATTTAGCATAACCTAGAATCTAGTAACGGCGATACGTTTCTTAAAATCATGTCAATCGAAACTGTAGCACTCAAACTTCCTACGCTCTGGACTTCTTTTCCTTCCACGTGGTTCGCACAAACAGAGGCCCAATTTGCTTTGAATGGGATCACAACTGACGAGACAAAATGCTTCTCCGTCGTAGCGGCGCTTGATGCAGCTACAGCAGCAAGATCCCTATCCATAATTTTCTCACCTCCTTCAAGTCAAAAGTACGACACACTCAAGTCTTTCCTTATAGAGGCCTATAGTCTATCAGAGGAAAAAAAAGAAGCAGCCTTTTCGAGCATAAAAGAACTGGGCAATAACAGACCCTCTGAGATGATGGAAAAAATGATAGCTTTGATGGGAGAACACAAACCGTGTTTTCTTTTTCGCCATATTTTTTACAGCTGCTGCCAGAACCTATTAGAGCTTCTCTGGCGAACTCCCACCACAGAACAGATTACCGCGCACTGGCAAAAGAAACGGATAACCTGTACAACCCTTTCGCCAATTTGAAAGTCTATACAGCGGTGAGACCTACTGATTCTGTTTCAGACCTGCCCGAAGCTGATGCTATTTGCTGGTTCCATCGAAAATCAGGATCTAACGCAAGACGCTGCAGCAGTCTATGCAAGCACTTTAAGAATTTCCAAAACAAAAAGCACCAGGGAAACGGCAGAGCGGGCCAGCAGTAGAAATAGAAGATCTGATTGTTGGTCCACAATGTTGCTCAACAACAACTTTAACGACACCGACAACAGATTCTAAAGCAACTCAGCTGTTTGTAACGGACATTAAGTCTAAACAATGTTTCTTGATAGACACAGGTGCTCAAGTCTCTGTGACACCAGCGTCAAGGGCTGAAAGAACGTCAGGTGCGACAGGTCCACCCTTGCAAGCAGCCAACGGAACAACCATAGCGACCTATGGATCCAAAGTTATTCCTCTTCATTTCAGTAACTGTGTGTTTAAAGCACGTTTGATATCAGCCAATGTTAAGAGACCCTTACTGGGGGCTGATTTTCTCCGGCAGCACAATTTATTAGTTGATGTTCGAGGACACCGTCTAATTGAGGCAGAAACCTTCTCGCATATCTCTTGCTCGGTCAGTTCCATTTCAACTGGTCCAGATTTGGCCCTCATAGAACCACCAAACAATAGATTCCGCAAGATTCTCAACGAGTATTCCGAACTCTTAAAGCCTACTTTTTCCACAGCAGATGTCAAGCATGGTGCGCAACACTTCATTCCCACCAAAGATCAACCTGTTTTTGCTCGTGCTCGTTGCCTGGCAACAGACAAACTCACGTCTGCAAAGAAAGAGTTCCTTGAGATGGAGAAAATGGGCATAATACGGAAATCAAACAGCCCCTGGGCATCATCTCACCTCTGCAAGTTGTGCCTTAAAACGACAGAGGTTCCCGCCCATGTGGAGATTACCGCAAGTTGAACGATGCAACAGTCCCAGATCGTTACCCCATACCCCATATTCAGGACTTTTCTGCTCGTCTAACTGGTAAGTCCATTTTCTCTAGAATTCATCTTGTTCGAGGATATCATCAGATCCCCATGGCGCCCGAGGACGTACCTAAAACGGCAGTGATCACACCCTTTGGTTTGTGGGAATTCTTGAGGATGCCATTCGGGTTAAAGAATGCAGCACAAACATTTCAGCGACTGACGGACACAGTGCTTCAAGACCTAGATTATGCATTTGTTTATCTGGGCGATATCCTAGTTGCTAGTTCATCAGCCCAGTCTCACGTCGACGACCTCAACGCAGTTTTTCAGTGGTAGCGACACCATGTATTGGTGATTAAGCTAGAAAAATGTCTTTTTGGCGTTGCATCACAAGATTTTTTTAGGACATCGGGGTTTCTGCGTCAGGTTCAACACCTATGCCCTCTAGGGTTGATGCCATTAAGGAGTTTCCTTAGCCAAGTACAGTCAAAGCGCTGCAGGAGTTTCTGGGTGTACTGAAATTTTACCATCATTTCATTCCCAACATCGTTGCGATTTTGCACTCACTTTACCACGCTCGTCAAGCTCTAAGTTGGACCGATGAAATGTACCAGGCATTCCTTTCAGGTAAACAAGCCTTAGCTAACGCATCCATTCTGGTTCATCCGTGTGCAGACTGCCCAATCGCTCTCACTTGTGATGCATCTAATGTGGCTGTCGGTGCAGTTCTCAAGCAATACAAGAATGATCGTTGGGAGCCTCTCGTCTTTTTCAGCTGGCAACTATGTAAGCCAGAAAAGAAATACAGCACCTTTGATAGAGAGCTTTTAGGTGTCCACCTTGCAATACGCCATTTCCGGTACATGGTGGAAGGTAGGCAATTTATTATTTACACCGATCACAAAACGTTGGTCTCTGCAATGTCAAAAACTACAGACTTATGGTCAGCCCGGCAGCAAAGGCAGCTATCTGCTATCTCAGAATTCAGCACTGACATCAGGCACATATCTGGGAAGACAAACATTGTTGCTGATTATCTCTCACGTGCTGTGATCACCGCTAATGCAGTCTCACTTGGCATAGATTTTGCAGCCTTAGCAGCAGCTCAGCAGTCAAGTACAGCTGATATACAGGCGTACACTTCAGCTTTCATAAGCATAAAAGTCATTAAAACGAAGTTGAGCGACGAAGGTCCCAAAGTCCTTTGTGACATTTCAACAGGCAGAGCTCGGCCCATTGTTCCTCTAGAATTCAGACGCCAGGTGTTTGAGTCTGTGCAAAACCTTGCATACCCAGGGGTTAAGGCCACTGTAAAACTCATCACGAATGCCAGACGTCGAAAATCCAGAAACACACCTGTGCTCCCCTAGAGACATTTAGAGTACCCGACAAGCGGTTTTCACACATCAATATTGATATAGTGGGTCCACTTCCTCAGTCCTGTGGTCAACGGTATCTTTTGACCATTATTGACCGCAACACACGATGGCCAGAGTTGATCCCTATGCCAAACATAACAACAGACTAATGTGTTAACGCTCTCATAGGAGGCTGGATCTCCCATTTTAGTGTTCCTGCCAATATATCATCGGACCGAGGATCTCAATTCACATCTGAAATTTGGACTGACATAGCTCAACGCCTTGTAGTCCGCTTACATAGATCAACGGCTTTTCACCTCCAAGCAAATGGACTGATCGAACGGTTCCATCGCTCACTTAAAACGGCATTGAAGGCCAGACTCACTGGTAACAACTGGGTGGAAGAACTTCCTTGGGCTACGAACTGCTCTCAAGGATGACCTGGGATATTCATCAGCAGAACTGGTCTATGGTGAGCCACTGACCGTATCAGGTGATCTTTTACCCTCTGAAGCCTAGTCAGCAACAGATTTGTTAACAGATTTTCTAGCTAAAGCACAGTTCACTAGGCCTAGACCGGCTATCCACCACAGTGACCCAGTCACATACTTCCCACCATCTATGTTAACAGCGAAGTATGTTTACATCTGCACAGACACCGTGAAAAGTTCACTTCAAAGACCATACACAGATCCTGACATGGTTCTCGCCCCAAGAGAAAAGACCTTCCTTCTGGACATCGGAGGCCGCACGGAACGCATTTCAGTTGATCGCCCCAAGCCTGCACAGGTAGACCCTACCCAACCTGTCCATCTACAGCAACCAGCACGATGCAGCCACCCTCCGGTGTTGCGGGAACCAAAGCCTACCGTCAGGAATACCGATGGGCGAGAGCAAACTACAGAGGCGATTCACCCTGCCTGCACGCTACCAATGATCCCATGAGACGTCTGTGCTGGGGGAAAGTGTGTGGCGACTAACCTTAAGACCAAATTGTTGAGGTGGGTTGTTGTTATGTGTAGTACGTCGCACTTGAGTTCATGAGCAACAGTTCAGTGAAAGTGTCTAAGCTGTTCGGGTGGAATGTATTGGAGTTATGTCTCGTCCTGCAATGACTTACATGTGTGTGTGTCTCTTCACGCTACAAGCTACTATATATATATACATACAGTCGAACCTGTGTAAGACGAAATCGCAAGGGAGCCAGAAAAATGTTCCCTCTTAGACAGGGGAACTTAGGTGGGAGGCGGAGGGGATCAAAGATTGCTTGTCCGATCGGCAAGCAGTGGTCAAAATTTTACACTCTCAATTGCTATTCTATGTGGTAATGACATGCGTCAGTTTTACTTATCCAATTACCACCAGTGCTTGCCTTTCATAGGACCACTGTTTGACCTATTAAAAACAGAAACGTTTGAACATCTCCTTTGCTTCCACCTAGGTGGTTTTATGACCGCCTAGCTTCCGCCCTTAGCCCCACCCATCGGTGTTTCAAGCAGAGTCAACCAATGCCACCCTCACTGCCATCATGTAACAACGATTTGAGGAACTCTTTTCTCGACTGGCTATACCAGGGCAACAGGCATTGGTCAATCTAATTTCCCACCTCTGGCTTCTGGCTACCCAGGAAAGTTTCCGTAGTGGCTCGCTACTCGAACACTCTCACGGGCAGTCGTGAGATTTCACACCCACACCACCCTGACCATCTGTATCTCTCAGGGCTCACATGATGGGGTAACATCTACCACCTTATTGTACCCCTACTCCCCTTCCTCGCCCAGCGGCATGGCCATTGCTTTAAGTTTAGATCCGGCGGAACCCAACTTGCGAGTTTTCTTTCAAATTAGGGCAGAGCGGGCAAAACATTTTCCGTCTTAGACAAGTGAAACCCTCGGAACGGAGTGGATTTTTATGTATGTTTCCGCGTTAGACAGGTTTCCGTTTTATACAGGTAATTTAAGAGGAATATATCAAGGGTGGAGCGGGGAGATTCCGTTAAGACAGGTTTCTGTTTTATACCGGTTTCCGTTAAGGCAGGTTCGACTGTGGTAACTAAAAAATGGAAATTATAGATTATATTACATGTTAGCTGAGATTTCACAAGCAGGCTGATAGTGCTACATTTATCAGTTGTAGGACTAAGACAAACAATAACAGTTGTTCGTAGAGCTGCACATAAACCTTCAATCTACGACGTACAACTACAGCAATAATAATGTGCACCACCAGGAACAAGATCAAAAGCAAAATAAATTAGCTTCGAGAAAGCTATTGTATCTTAAACCACTGTAGAACAAAACATAACTGAGCAAGAAGAGTATCAATTTTAAGTGAATTAGTAGGCCTATTTTGATCAAAGAGAATTAGATATAGAGCACATGCAGGTACATTGGGATTCAACCAAATCTTCAACACTAATAATAATAAATAATAATATAACATTTATATAGCGCATTTCCAAAAAAAAGTAGCTCAATGCGCTTTACATTGGAATACCCATTTTTCAAAAACCTTTCTTACTACTTTCTTTCTTCTCAAGCAATATACATTAATGCACACACACACACATACACACACACACACACACACACACACACACACACACACACACACACACACACACACACACACACACACACAGACTATTTTCATCCAGACATAGGAACAGAACAAATATAATGAAAGATAACGTTAAAAGCTTATGAAGGATAGGCCTGTAGGAACAGAAAATGTTTAAGATGTTTTTTGAAGCTATCAAGTGTTCTTATTTGTCTTAGTTTCATGGGTAATCTGTTCCACATAAATGGACCAAGATATGAGAAAGATCTCTCTCCATATGATTTGTATGATTTTACAGGTGTCACAAGTAGGGTGTTATCGTTCGATGATCTTAGGTTTCTCCCTGGTTTATATATATACTGATAAGTTCTTGTAGATAAAAAGGAGCAGTTTTATTTACACATTTGAAACACATAACGCAGATTTTAAATATTATTCGTTCTTTTACAGGGAGCCAATGCAGTTCTTTTAATAATGAACTGAAACTTTTTATTACTTTAGCTGAATTATAGCAAGAAGAAAAGAACAAAGTTTATCTATAGTAGGTCCTAGAACAGTAGCAAAGAATATAAAGAAAGCAACAACAAATATAACATAACAATATTTATTAGCACGTCTTCAAAACAAACAGTTCTGGGTACTACTTAAGAATGTGGGTCCCGTTTTGGGATACTATAGTTTTGACCCCACCGACGATTACTTCTCGTTCTACACGATTACTTTCTGACGCGCTTGCCGATATAGAGAAATACCAAAATAGTCAAATAACAAGATGGTTAACTCAGCGAAAAAAGTGTCCGCGGAAGTCCGCTTATTGCTTCAGATGGCGCTACAGTCTTTGTTTTGAAGTTCTCTTTCGTTTCTCCGGAAGAAGAATAGGAATAGCATCCCCTTGCATGTGCAGATCGACTGCTGTTCATCTCATTCTTGCCTCTCATTCAAAAGTCAAATTAAACGCAGAAAACAGTCGCCTCTTTGCATCCGGAAGAGGTTTGGTTTTTTTGTCAGCGTAACCATTTAAAAAAATATGTGTTCTTCCGAAATCTGAATTCTTATTTATTAAAAAACTTAGATCTAAAATTATTAGTTTCACTTTGATTTTTTTCACACAAGTAGGGTGCTACTCTGTTCGCAAAGGGAGCGCATTTGCGAAGAGGGCGCCACCGAATTTTGTGGACACTTTTTTAATTGGCTCAAAGAGAGGGTACCATCTTATTCTTATCATCATTCGGGATACGCAAACCTAATTGCAAAACATCAAATTATGGTCAAATTCAACCCCCCCCCCTCCTCCCATAAATGTTTTTGTTTGGTCAGGCCCCCTTGAAAACCCCCACTTGCCTTGTTAAAAACAAGTGAAATTTTACTGCTCCTTTTGTATATGCTACTGATAAAACATCGATACCGAATATTCATAAGTATCGATGGAGCTAGGCCTATAACTCCGTGTGGAGAAGAAAAGTCTAAACAGACGGGACCCACATTCTAAGTAGTAGGCCTACCCAGTTCTGTTTATTTATCTGATAACAAGTTTTTATAAGAAAGATCAATTTTCATAAGGTCTTTTCAGTAATTTGTAGATTTTAAAGCGCAGTTTATTATCATTATCATCATATTTCACTTGTAACTGGCAGAATACATGTGCCTTTTAAAAAAATGTGCTGATCTTTTTAAAAATGTAGGCTAGCTAGATCTAAATCTAGATCTATATCTAGATCTAATAGATCTAGAAGAGTCGAACCGAACCATTCGATTCCTCATATGAAATTATATTATAAGCTGGTTTCCAAACTAAACTGTTTGACAGAACACTTACTACTGAGACTACTCCATTCACTGATGAACATGTTGTCAAGGCAAGAAACTCATTACGATGTTATGAATTATGAATGATCACCACCATCGTTATCAGTCTCTTTCACGTGTGGTAAAAAAAAAAAAGACTTTTAAGTCAACAAAAAAACTGAATAATAATGATGGTGGTATCAGTATCAGAACCAGCAATTCATGACTCTATATTAATTAGATCTACACTTCTTTTTGTCCCTTAAAAAGATATTTCAAATACAGCAAAAATACAGCAGAAAATGTGATAGATGAGAATAAGAAAGTACTTTCGAGTTATACCACGATACCAAGCCTTTGGCATTGCTGTTGTCTGTTCCGCATGAGGAATGCTGTATTGGCCGCCATTACGCGTTGCCTCACGAACATAAACATTTACAAGTCGAGCTACACATTTATTGTCGAATCACAGCACACATAAAATAGACAACAAAATAATCTAGACTCCAACGAGTTTGTACCTTCTTTTGAGATAAAAAATCATTGAAGACATGAAATTTAAGTTGAATAGGGGAAATACAGGTTATTCGAAAACACCTTCAGTGCCCCCACTGTTGACAGTGTTGCCATGACACCAGGACTTGGCGGGTTTTCCGACGGACGGGTATCTTTCAAAACTATTCAATAATCAAGAATGCATTGTGCGGTGGGGTAGATCTAGGTGCGGCACAATTGAAGATAATGACAATATAGTATTAGATCATTGATGATTTGTCACAAGAAAGGAAAATCCAATCAAAATAGAGATAAATTTTAAAGTATATGTCAGAGAAAGACGTTTGTAGGATAAAGTTCTCATTCTCATTGAGGGGGAGGGGGTATTATAGTACCAAAAAATAGGCCCTATTGCAGGTCCGGTCCCGTTATTTTCTTCAGTCGTTTATAATTTGTTTTCTCTCAGCAGCAGATATAGTTAGGTCTGTTTTTTTATTTGCAAGAGTTGTATAATTTTTGTCATATAAATTTTTGCTCTCGTAATTTTGTTCTTGCTGTTTTGCGTTGAATTTGTTTAAGCTTTATAGTTTATAATTGGCTTTTTTTAAAAGGAAATGAACAGCTAGCTTATAGGCACCAATAGTTAGACAAAAGATTCTCCATTATGTTAGACTACAAGGATTGTAAGATATTTGTCCTGTTTCTATTAAATTGTTTCTTTTGGTTTGGGGTTGTTTTTTTTTGGTCTTTTGTTGTTGTTTTTTGTGGTTTGGTTTGGTTTGTTTTATTTTCATTTTAAAACTAAAGTAAAAATATCACACCCCATCAGATTGCTGCCATCACCATCACCACCACCATCACCATCATCATCATCATCATCATCATCATCATCATCATCATCATCATCATCATCA